AGACATGGAAATAGTTTGTCATTTTTACCCTATTGTTTGTTATATTTATTTGCTCAATGTCTTCTGGGGTTTTTGTTTCTTTTACTGTTGTAGATATCCCATAGTATAACAAAAATATTATATATCTCTTCATTGTGTTTGGGCCCCCTTGGACGAGCAAGCATAGGCACGTGCCTAGAATGCCTATGCGTAAATCCAGCCCTGTGCATAATATTGTATATATATGTATATATATGTCACGAATCCAGTCTATAAACTTCACTCACCACCAGAGGTCACCCGCTCTCCACATGGACTCTCACACTACACAGACTGTTACACATCACCCTGGACTACATTTCCCATGCTCCTTTGCACTAATCACAAGCTCAACTGAAACCAATCACACACACTACATAAGCCACACTCCAACCATTACAGACTGCCGAGTATTGTTTGCGGAATTACCCTTTGCCTTGCTGTTTCGGACTGTGTTTGCACCTTGCCTGGACTCTAGCTCGTCTTGTGGATTTCCCATTTGCCTCGCCATCAGGATTACGTTCGCCGGAGATCGGCCACGCCCATTTACTGGACTACTCTTGTGTCTTGCCCTCAATATACCCGTTTGCCATTGTTTGACCCATGCCTGTTATGACCACGTCTCTCTCTAATAAAAGCCTGCAGATGGATCCGCACGTCTCACGTCTCGTTCACCCCGTTACATGTTGCACAGATCTATTTCAGAATGCAACAACATGAAATCAAGTTTGTGTATGGTGTGTTTAAGTCCTCCCCTGTATTTACAAGATGGGAAATCGTAATTACGATGTCAGGTGCGCTCAAGTCACTTTGGCTAATCAGCAATTTAATTAATCAGCAAAAATTTGAACTCTACTTGTATAAAATTATCGATTAAAAAATGCGCATCGGGTGTGTTTTTGCTTTATGTTTTTATTGTTTACAAAGGTGCTATAAATTTATGTTATATATTCCATCATAATTGTACAATATTTTGTGTCATATTTTGTACATACAACTTAGCTAGTTTTATTGTAAATGAAAAAAAAAATACTTTCAACAAATTTACCGTCAACATACACACTACGTGCCACATATTTCTGCAATGGGCTTAAATGAAGGTTCGGAATTTCCAACTCATAACAACATTGTGTAGTTAATGCACATTCAACTCAAATACCATGTTTCTGACATGACTTCAACGCACCATTAAAATTCACATTCTTCTGTAGAGTACGTTTTGGGCCTACAAGCCTAATGCATAATACTAATGAAAATTAGAAATGTTGCCTTTGCGACTAATTGAAAAAAAAAAAAGTTTAAGTACTAAAATCACTAAAACTGAAACAACAAAACCTCATTTTAGACTTGAACGCACCATTAGAATTCACTTTCTTCTGGCGAGTATGTTTTGGGCCTACTAACTTACAATGCATAATGTAATCCATAAAATGCAGAAATAAAACCTTTCGAAGGCCAAACAAGCAAAGAAATAATTGAACATGCGTCCAGTTATTACGGTCCATACAACTTTAACTGCTGGTTACTGGACCGCGCCAACATGCCTAAAGTAATGGGGGAGGGCGATATCAGCTCTGCCCGCAGCCTTCAGCAGGTCTGTCTGTGGCGCCGACGCCTGTGACTGTTACTCTGCCAGGAACGGTCAGCTCACCAAAGATGCATTAGCTAATGATCTTACATCCTGTCCCCTCCTAGACGCACTTCCACCCGAAGCCGTTCAGGCAGCGGATGACTGACTCAGCGCTCCCGGTCTGAGGCAGCACAGCTAAATCCTGTCTAATGCCTCCACTGAGAGACCTTACCTTTGAACCTCAGACCACTCAGGCTAAACGCTGGCCTGTTGGGACGACACATGCACCACGCTAACTAGACTATTTGGGTAATTGAACATTTCAGAAGCCTTCAATTGAACCTTTATGGTATAATATCTAAAAGATCATCAATATGCAGTCTTCATTGTGTGTATATCTGTTTTACTTTCCTTCAAAAAAATTAGGCAGGATCAGGAAATGACCATATAAACAAATGCCGTGAGTCATTTCAGAAAAAAAATTCCAACAAAAATTTGTCCACCAAAACATCATAGATAATTTGTCAATGTTATTATAAATTACATTTTAAAAATAAATAAATAAAACGTAATTTAAAAAACAACTTTTAATTATAAAAAATTAAGTTACATTTTTGAAACAATTAAATTTGTAAAAATTTAATTAAATTAATTAAATGATTACATTAGCCAGGGGAACATGATTAGAAAAATAAGTGCGCCAAATTGTATTGAATGTGCACTTGAATTGCACAAGCATATTTTTTTTTGTACAAGCATAACTGTACTTGCAGATAATATAATATTAATAAAATTAAAGGCCATTAATTAAAAAAAT